TTCTGTAACTTCCTTTTCATATTGCTTATTGTTAGTGTATAGGAATTCATGTGTGTGTGTGTGTGTGTGTGTGTGTGTGTGTGTGTGTGTGTATTGAGTTTACATTGGTAGCTTTGCTAAGTTCATTGATTGGTCTTAACACTTCTTTTGTGTGTGAATCTTTAGGTGTATATGTGTGTGCAAGATCCTGCTATTTTTGAACAGAGATAGTTTTACTTTTTCTTTTTCCAGTCTGGTTGATATTTATTTCTTTTCTTTGCCTGACTTATCTAGTTAGTACTTCTAGTAGTATGATAAACAGCATAGTAAAAGTTGACATTCTTGTCTTATTCCTAAGCTAATGGGAAAAACCATCAAGCTTTGACTAGTGAGTATGAGGTTAATTGTATTCTTTTAGTCGATGGCTTCTATGCTATTGAGGTAGTTTCATTCATTTCCTAGCTTTTTTTTTTAGTTTTAAATGTTAAAAATTCCATTTATTTATGTATTTATGTATGCACAGGTGTGTGTGTGTGTGTGTGTGTGTGTGTGTGTGTGTTAATGCATGTGTGGAGGTTCAAAGATGACTTGCAGGAGTCTGTTTTCTCTTCCATCATATAAGTCCAGGGATCAAACTCAGGTTGTCTGGCTTGGAAGCAGGAGCTTTTGCCCACTGAGCCATCTCCTTTGGTCCTACTGAGTGCTTTTTAAAATGATCAATATTAAAATTTATCGTATTTATCAAAACCTTTTTTTGGGGGGGGCAGTTGAGATAACTATGTATGTTTTCTCTTTTATCTGTTAAATAATGATTATACTGATTTTTTTTTATATACTGGACAATTCCTGCATTGTAAGATAAATTCTCACTTAGTAATGCTTTTTAATTCTTTATTGTCCCGTTGAACTCTGTTTGATAATATTTGATGGATTAATGTTGTGTGGGTATTAATCGGGAATATTACTCTGTACTTTCTTTGTCTTACTTTGCTATTAAGTGATGGTGGCTTTATAGGCTGAGTTTGGAGGTATTTTTTCCCTCTTCTCCCTAATTTTGAGAACACTGAACATTTTTTGAGATATTTCTTGGAATTGCTGTTAATTTTTCTTTATATATATTTGGTAGAATTTATCTGTGAACATATCTGGTCCCTGGACTTTCTTTGTTGGGGAAGTTTTGGATTACGGATTCTGTGTCCTTTTTAGTTATACTTATGCTCAAGTTTTCAAGTTCTTTATGACTGAATATTGATAGTTTGCATGTTTGTAGGTTTTTCCCACAGATATATTTGTATCTACATTGTTCAATTTCTTTGTATGTGTGGAGGCCAGAGTTAGACACTAGACGTCTTTCTTAACTGCTCTTCATTTCATTTTTCTGAGACAGGGTGAGTAAACCTGGAGCTTGCTGATGTGCATGGCCACACTCAACATTTTTTCTTATATGGGTGCAGAGGATCAAACTCAGGTTCTCATGCTTAAATAGCAAGCATTTTACCAACTGATCCCATTTTTTTTCTTAAAACTCATTTTAAGAGCTATATAATATTCCAGAGTATGAGCATAGCAGAGTTTATTTACTTATTTTATAAATTTTTTGTTTGTTTGTTTTTTTTGAGACAGGGTTTCTCTGTGTAATAGTTCTGGCTGTCATGGAACTCGCTCTGTAGACCAGTTTGGCCTCAAATTCACAGAGATCCGCCTGCCTCTGCCTCCAAAGTGCTGGGATTAAAGGCGTGCGCCGCCGCTGCCGCCGCCGCCGCCACCACCAGGCTAATTTTAATTTTAAAAATGAAAACATATATTACACAATTTCCCCCTTCCTATCTACTCTCTAGCCCTTCCCATGTCACCCATCACTCTCCACTCCCTCTCAAATTAGTGTCTTCTTTTTCTTTCATTATTATTGTTACATATAGACGAAGGTAAACCTATGGATAGACTCTTCTGAGTCTGTTGAGTGCTGCTTGGGTTCAGAGCTGACCACGTGGTGTTGGATAACCAAACCTTGAAGAAGACAAATTTTCCTGCTTTCAGCATTCCTTAGTTGCCTGTAGTTCTTTGTCTAGGGGTGGGGCCTATCAGAGTTCCTCCTTCCAAGTTAGCTTGTCTATTGTCCTTGTCCTTGTTCTGGTCTGGCTTAGACAACCATTCTATTGAGGTATCATGGTGGATGTTTCCTGTCATTTCTAGGAGACAGTCTCACAGTGGATTTCTTGGTCCTCTGGCTCTTACTTTTTCCACACCCTCATCCACAATGTCCCCAGAGCCTTGGATGCAGAAGTTGTGCTGTCGATGCATCTACTGGGGCTGGGCACTACATGGTCAGTGGCCCTCTGCATTTTGACTCGTTATAGTTTTCTGTAATGATCTCTATCTGTTGCAAAGAGAAGCTCCATGATGAGGGATGAGAGCAATACTCATCTGTGGGTATAAGGATAAATATTTAGAATGCAGCTAGAAATTATGCTGGGTTCTCCTCAGATTCATGACCTCACTATGTGTTTAAAAAAAACAATGAAAGAATCACTGACAGTATATGTTTGGCTGGGTCTGTAGTTCAATTGAGAGGGTGCTTGCCTAGCATGGATGAAGCCCTGGGTCCAGTCCCCAAGAGTATATGAACCAGATGTGGTAGCATACATCTGTAATCTCAGCACTTGAGAGTGAAGGCAGGAGAAGAAGAAGTTCAAGGTTACATGTTCATACATGGGTGCATGGTAAATCTGAGGCTAGACAGTGGTGTATGAAACCCTGTGTTCTAACAAACAAAACCCCAAACACAAAACAGTATGCGGTAACTGTGAAAGGTTGAATTTACACTGTATGTACCTTGGTCACTTGTAAGCAATTCATTTTCTTCTATAAACCTTGGACTGTTTAAGTGGTGAATCAGAAAGGAGTTGGTGGCTATAATTAGGGGGGCAGAAGGACAGAATGTGCCCCATTTCTGCCCTGTCCGGATAAGGCACCTCTGGATTGGAGTATGCTGCTAGACAGTCTATCAGGAAAGTGAGCTGTTGGCTTATGTTTTGCCCTTTATTCACACCTTCTATTTTTTCTGGGCTTTGTCACTCTTTGAATGTATAAATTACAATTTAAAGCAAAGCAAATTCTCATTTAATTCTTTAAGTTTACTTATTCTGTGTGCGTATCTGTCTGTGTGCCACAGGGCTCATGTGGCAGTGGAAGGACAACTTGAGGGACTCAGTTCTTCTCCCACTGGTGTGAATTCCAGGAACAGAACTCAGGTGGTCAGTCTTGGTCAAAGCACCTTTACCCACTAGCCATGTTGATGTTGATGTTGATATTGATGATGATGATGATTTTATGTCTATCTATCTATCTATCTATCTATCTATCTATCTATCTATCTATCTATCTATCTATCTATCTATCTATCTATCTATCTATCTCTACCATCTACCTACCTACCTACCTACCTACCTACCTACCTACCTACCTACCTACCTACCTATCATCTTCTATACCCTCGAGTTCCAAGTCCAAGGTCTACCCATATTAGTTTGAAAAGTTGCCTGGGTTTATGAGGCAATTCTTGATACTTATGCTTAATATATAAAAATCTGTTTCCATACATATTACATAAAAGCACATTTATATGTAATAAGCACATCTTTTTATATTAAGCATGCATCTGAAACCAAAGAACATAAGTTAATTATAAACATTGAGCAAAATCTTGGTTATCCTCACTTGCTCTTTAGCAACTGGGAAAAAATGGTTTTAAAATCTCCATCTGTTGGTGCTTTCTTGGGAGAGGTTGGCCATCCTGACACCTGTCTCTTTCTGTCCTGCAAGATTAAGTTAGTGGAAACGAGTGATTTGTTAGCATGTGTTACCACTGTTTTAGGATTACCAGAAACAGCTTCCTTCTAGTGGATGGGAAAGGAAGTCCCCTTTGGGTTCTGAGATTCTAGCTTCTGTGCCATCTAGTTGTAAAAGCTCTGGGTGAGATTAAGAGACTCTGGGTGTCCTAGTTAGTGACAGCTGTCAACATGACATGGCCTACAATAACGTGAAAGGGATTCTCAACAAAGTGAGTATCTTTTTCAGGTTAGTCTTTGAGAGACTGTCTTGATTATCAGTTGATTGAGGATGGCTAAGCTCACTATGGGCAGCACCATCCCTAGGCAGTGGTCCTGGTCTTATAAGAAAGCTAGCTAAAAATAAGCCTTCAAGTGAGCCAGAGAGCAAGCCACTAAGCAGCATCCCTCCATGATTTCCGACTCCAGGTTCCTGCCCTGACTTCCCTCAGTGATGGACTGTGGCCGGGAAGTTTAAGCCAAACAGCCTGTTCCTCCCCATGCTGCTTTTGGTCAGAGTGTTTAATGAAGGCAACAAAACGAAGGAAGAACATGGAAATGCCGCAGCTTTTTAACCACGCTTGGGACTCATCCCATTTCCATCCCATAAGAAGAGCAATATAGGATATAAAAGAGGGGCTGACAAGGTAAAGCCCCTTGCCACCAAGCTTGAAGACCCGAGTTCAATCCTCAGAACCGTAAGGCAGAAGGAGAGTTTGCCTCTGATCTCTACGTTCACACCTCGGCATGTGCCTGCCCCACTTCCTGTGCAAACTAAATACAGGTTTAGAATCAAACTCAGAATTTTTTCAATGTGGTTCTCTATGAATTGTCTGTTATTTGCCCTCTAAATAAAAAGAAGTGATTTTGATATGCCATCACATATAATTTATTACCTTTGATACATCAGCCTTTTTTTTTATAAGAGCAATTTAAGAACAGTGAAAGAAGAACGGAAAGTATCTCAGCATAGAAGATTTTTCCATGGCCTTGGCAGCCTCAACCCTTGTAACATGGGGGAAATCCCAAGGAAAACCGATTTTCACATTTTGGGATCAAATTTGGATTTTATTATTTTCACAGGGGATATCAAAGCCTTCCCAGTATTAGACAAAAAAAAAATGTTCTGTGAGGCCAACTGTTTGGTGGCCCTCCCTCCCCCAAACACAAGCCAAATTGAAGTTCAAGAACGTGTTAGTGGCCAAAGACTTGAAAGTTGAACAGTGGGGTCTTAACAGGTGGGCTGGCAGCAGCTGGGCTCAGAGCAGCTGGGCTGGCAGCAGCTGGGCTCAGAGCAGCTGGGCGGGCAGCAGTAGCAGCAGCAGGCTGGACGGCAGCAGGACTGTCCACAGTAGGAGGGGCGGCAACAGGAGGC